CGCAACTCTTAAGAGGCAAACATCCTGAGATCCTGGAATCAAGAAGTAAAAACTCAAGGCAGCTTGCAACCCAAATGCAATAATCAAACAGCAAGCACAGGTGCAACAGACCTTTCTTGGAGCGCCTGGGTTTCGGAGGAGGGACAGTGAGGCGACGTGGAGGTGGAGAAAACGTGCCATTTCCTTAATAACATCCAGAAAAAGCAAATAAACAAACAAGAGAAACAGTAAGACGGTCAATGAAAAGTGAAAAGCATCTTCAAGAGTGAACAAACAACAGAGCAACATGATGAAACTTCTTCTGGGTAGCAGATGGCTTGACTTCCATCTGCAACAAGACCTCCAGCTGCCACACACAGCCACACAAGGACTCCACATATTACATAGTCTACACCTCAGATATGCACACACAGACACATTATACTTATGGGCCATTGGAAATACAACAGACCATGTCAGGCATGCCCCTTTCTCCAAACCTGTGACTTCACCTTACCTTTCAAGAATTTCCTAATAGGAATAACACAAAATCCCTCGTCCAACTAGCTGCCTGAATCACAGTTATCTCTATCTGAACCATCCCACACAAATCCTTGTTTGTACTACTAAAACTACGCAGTCAATCCTGTTGCACAACTACAAGGCATAGAACCCTAACTTGCCACAAGTAAAGAAGGGGGACAATGGTGGCTAGTGTTCTGCTGCTGAAGGTGTTGTTAAAATATGGTCCAGAAATCTAAGGAAGAAGGGCCACACCCCCTGCTACAAAGGAAAGCAAAACCCCACACTGTCCATAACAATCTGATCATAGGCTCAAATTGCTTCCTGACCTAAAATATGCAGAGTTAAAGCCGCACTTTTTAAACAAGCCAGATAGAATGTGCCTCTATCAGAATTGGTCCTGCCACACTTTGGCAGTCTCATAGTACAGCTTGGCACATTCTGATACCCAGTTAGACAATTTCTGGAGTGAGCTTGCTTTGGCCTTTGGATATTTGATCGAAGGAGACAAATAGCGTTGGAGGTTTTTAAAGAGCTTAATTATATGCAAACAGAAAAAAAGAGCACGCTTGATATCTGTAGTGTAGCAAGGCCCTTTCCTGGAAGGTACAAGGCTTTGGAAAGAAGACTGGTAAATTAATCTGTTGCCTCAGGTAAAAATCTACAACCCTATAAATCTATAAGGGACCATAAGGCCATTGGAGCTGACCTCACCCCCCCACCCTTGTTCCTTGGAGGTGACGGCGTGGGGGTGGGAGCGGGGTTGGGATGCCCTGGGAGGTGCATGGCCACCAGTGCTGGCCTCGACCCACCCCTCCCCCCTTCCGTTGTCACTGTCTGCATGGCTGATGTGGCAGCAGTGGGGGGAGGAGTGGGCCCTATGCAGGGGGATGGCAGGGAGAAGCAGATGTGCTGCAGCAGCAGGTGGCGGGGGGAAGAGTGGGCTTGGGTCGACATTGCAGTGGTGGGGGGAGAGGAGGAGTGGGCCCGAGGGGCAGCAAGAAGCCAGCCCACCATGGCGGTGGGGGAGAAGGAGCGGCATGGTACAGCAGGCCCAGCCCAATGTGGCAGCTGCAGGGGGAGAGGAGGACCAGGCCTCTTGCTCTGATTAGGCCCAGGCCCACTCCTCCCCTACCCCCACCACTGCAGCAGGGAAGGGGGCAGTGGGCCCAGACCCCAAGCTGCAGAAGGGAAGGGGGGGAATGGGCCAGGACAGGGTGGGGGGACATGGGGTTCCATCCCTGCCCGCTCCCCATCATTGTTGACCATCAACTGGCTAGTAAGATGATAACAGTTACAATGAAGGCTGGGGCAAGCATGGGTGAGGTTAGTGAGAGCGCTATCAAGAAGAACAAACAGTTGCTCCGCTAGTGGTTGCCATCCACTAATCCTTCAGTTAGATAGGCCTCAACCCTCTACCATACCCAAGCCTAAAAAGAAAAGTAATGGTTCCTCTAAAAGGAAAACTGTTGGCAGAGACTTGACACACTCATCACATGTGTATAACAAAGCTGGAAAATAAAGAGAAGGGCACAGACCAAGTAGGTGTGACTAGAGAAAGCAGGAAACTGCATACAGGTTACCCTCGCTTTATGCAGGTTCTGTATGTGCAAATTTGCTCTTATGCAACGACCCTTTTTATACCAAAAATATGTTATATGCGAGGTAAATTCAGTCTTATGCATCAGTGTGGTGGGAGCCCGCAGTCAGCTGCTTTGTGCAGTACATTGTAGGAGTGATGCGCACCAAAATATGGTCTCCTGTGTGGATCTGTGCTCCTCATTTGTTGTCCACGAGACATGTTTCTGTGGTTGCCATCCCCATTATGATAGCGCCCTGTGCTTGTGTGTTCCGTCTGCTGTTGACAAGTACCAAAACTGTCTTGTAAAGTGGTAAAAATGGGTCTGAGGGTCAGTCCAATTGAGGTCTTGGAACATATCTCTATTTATTACATTGTAAAGTGGGTTCCCTTTATGCGAATTTGAGTTATGCACCTGTGAGCGGGTGCTCCTGGATCAATCAAAGAAACATGTTTCAGTCCCACTTGCCATTCCTGTGCTCGTTCTCATCTGCCACAACTTGATGGGAGTTCAGAGTAAAATTTACAGGTGGGAAGCTTCTGGTTTTAATAAAAGCTGCAACATGCCACTCCCTGCACTGCTGCTATCTCCTGCAACTGAAATGGGTTCAAGCTCCCACTGGTGTAATGTGCTTATGCAACTCAGCCACATTTCCTTATGTCTAGGAGGTGCAACCTGCAGCTCTTCCCACCCTCCACCACGAATAAGCAGTTGCTTGAAGTGCCAATGCTGTCTGGGGTGAGCAGAATTCTTAAGATACAGTTACTCAGGGCACTGTGTATACATCCGGTCCCTGTATCACTCATTCAAAAAGTCTCTAATTAACATTGTGTACCTGTCCTGGAGACAGCTGGACCAGCTTCCCTCACGACGTTCCGAGGGCACCATTGTCTGCCATCCCTGAGGGAAGCTACCCCTCTCTCGTGCCTGCACCTCTGCACAGGAAACTGCACCGTCGCTCTGACTTTCTCTTAGCCAACACTCCAGTTCCCTTTCTGGAGGGGTTCCTAAGTCAGACCTGGTTCTTTTACACAAAGTCCTTAATTAACAATTAACAAGCTCCTGGTCTGCTCCATCCCCTGTTTGTGAGTCCTTAATTAGCAATTAACAAGTTTCCTGATTGGCCCGCTGCCGGTCTATGAGTCCTTAGCTTTCTAGCTTGCTCTGTAACAGGACCACTGACTCCCTGTTACAACATCGTTTTCCAGGAATGCATGTACAGCATAAAGCGAGGGAAACCTGCCTATGTTTCAACTGAGCTAGTAACTAAAGAAAACAAAAGACTAAATAAATATTTCAAAGCAGAACCTGTAAGAGGTGCACTGAGTGCAGGCAAGGTGTCCCATACATGATGAATGCATGGGCATGTGCTTTGTTAACACATCCTCATATTTCTCAAACAGGCATTCAATTCTGTCTAAGGTTTTACAAATGTCTCAGTCATTCAGTGTCTGTCTGGGGTTTTGTAAACAAACCATCACCAGTGCAGGCTATTGCAAATTTGCCCCGTTGTTAAACAAATACCCAAAGACAGGTCTGGTAACCAATGCTTCTAGGTATCCTGGTTAGCCAATCAAGACTCATCACTTTTGATTGACTTACAAGCTCTGCACTGGTCAGAAAACTGCAAAAACAAAACAAAAAAAGTTTCACACCTGGACAAATCCAAAAATAGGATCCAAGCATTTTAACAATTGTAATCTGATGGTTCCCCCTTCCTCCCTGTTTTGTTTGGACTTTAAATTGACCTATCATCAAGGAAAAATGCTTTGAAGCTATACAATTAAAAGGTATAAGAGCAAAAGAAATTTACTAGCAAGATGTGCAGTCCAGGAGAAAGACAGAGGAAACATTTCTACATCTAGCCAAATAAGGCAAAGGATCCTGCTTGGTAAAGGATGTAAAACGACTGGAATGGCTTCCTGCCTGAATTGATAAGAAAAAACACTGCTGCAGCTAAATATGAACTAGGACTTCCTGTGATAGCTCATTTTATATTGGGAAGGAGTCTTTTTCTGTCATTTAGTTTATAATAGCTTATTGGTGGTATTGTTATTAAATAAAGCCTTTCTGCTATTAAACAGAGTGAGGTGTCATGTCTATCCTTAACTGCAGTAAGTTTAAAAAGCCACTTTTAACTGCAATAGTATGCATCTGTACACCTTTCAACACTTCCTCAGTGGCTTGAAGTTGCACTGTGCCAGCTGGAATGTGGTTGCCTGGAAACTGTTTGTTGAGAATCCCTTCTGTGAAAAGTGAGGCTGGAACTTTTGTTTACATTTGTATGCAGGCAAATAGGTCTGAGAGATCCTATAGTGAGGCTCCGGTGTACACCAAGCTATTGAATTCCTCCATTCTGAAGCTAAAGTTCTCCATGCCTTCAAAAAAAAATGTTCTACCACAGTTTGTACCTCTGAGAAAGCCAGCACCATGGAGTCAGGAGCTGTGGCACAACACAAATGAAACCATCAATCTGGAAGTAGTTTTAGGTGCATACAAAGCCACCTGGAAGACTCTGTCACCCTAAATTGCAGGCTCATGGATAAATAGGTCCTCTTTCTGAAACAGTCTCTTCACTATTCTGTCTTTAAATTGTTTAGTTTTCTAACTGGTTCCTGTAACAGCTATGGAAGAGGGCACTAGATGAGAATATAAGTACTCCTCTCTCAGTATGGCACTCTATTTGTATTCTTCTCTTTCAGTGGTAAGGCTGGCAGGAAGCTGGTGTCTGCCAGAGTGTTTTTGCAAGGTCTAGTTGTAGAGAGAAAGTTTTGTTTGTTGCTGAGATATGAGAATGTGTGGTGAAGAACCCTAGAGAAAGAGTCACCTTTTGAACTTGTGACCTTCTTAGGGGGAGTGAGCATGCTCAGCTGCAATCTAAAAAAAACACAGGAAAAATCATGAAGTCAAGGCACACAACAAACCTTGATTGACAGCAGCCAAATAACAGAACTATAATATATTGATCAGGTGGTAGCACATGATTGGATGAAGATAAGTGGGGTGATAAGCAGTGGAAAAAGGTATGAAAGAGCAAGAAAAACCCCTCAGTGTATGGCTCAGTTGAGTTGGGTCCTGGTTCAATCCAGTTGGTGTCCAGTA